TCCAGAACTTCGAATGAATCTCTGCCCTTGCTGACAGTAGGTTCAACCGTACCTCACAGCTGTTATACCCTCCCCCAGCCAAATTCTGTGCATGCTCAGGACCCATTTCCTATGCCACCTAGTCTTGGTCCTTCCTTACCTACTCCAACTGCCGAAGCTGCTGGGCAACTGGCATCACACTCAGAATGTTATACCTTATCCCCCTGTAGTCCATCTTTCCATCTGCCCACAGTTACCCAAGTAGTGATCCATTCCCACCTTCTTCACTCATTCACAAGTGGTACTTGTGGATCATCTATTTTACGTAATTTTTCTCAAACTAAGTGTTCCATACTAACTCAATTTTCTCTTTCCCCTCGCTCCTCCCCACCCCCATCCTCCAAACTGGTTTTCCTCTTCCTGTATTCTATACATATCCCAAGCTGGAAATTTCAGAAGCATCCCTTATTCCTTCCTCTCTTAATACCCACATCCAATCTGGCCACTCAGTTATGTCAATTCTCTCCCAGAAAATATATCTCAATGTACTCTGTTCTGGCCCCAGGTCCTTCATAACATCCCTACTGAACCATTGCAATGGTCACCTGATTCATCATCTCAATGCTATTCTCTCAATGTCACGGGTCTTCTCCAAACAGGCATCAAACATTTATTGGGGACCTACTTAACTCCAGGTATGGTGCTGGGCATTGGAAGTCTAACTTGGAAGTCTTTGACTTCCGCCACAAGTGTGAGTATTTTAAGGGTGGGAGCTTTGGCTAATTTAACTTTATATTGCCAGCCCCTAGCCAATTACCTGGCCCATCCTCCTTGATTAATGGATACTAGCTTGAAAGAATGAGTGAATGAGTGGAAAGTTCTCCATCTGGGCGATCCCAGATGAATTCATCCCAGGTGAATGGAAATAACAGTCCTGTTTTCAAGAAGGCAAAATTAGCTGAGAATTTAAGACCCAGACAAAAGATGGAATATGGGCAGATAGTTTGATAAATTGCATATAATCAGTTGGTGAAGAGTCAGACATTTTACAGTTTTCACTGTAGTAAAATAGGTGGGTAGAAGGTTGGGGAGGTGGCAGCTGCTTTCCTAAATTCATTCTCCAAGGGTAGTCCCTTTTCAAAAATGTTTATGGAAGTAAGTTGACCTGGTGGACATTATACGACTATGAAGGGACTGTTTTGTGAATCCCAACACTACTCTGGGAAATGGGGTGAGTCAGCATGGGAGAACCTGAGCTGTACATGTATAAAATAATGAACCAGGGATGCCTGGGTGGCTCAGTCAGTTAAGTGTCTGCCTTTGCCTCAGGTCATGATCCCACGGTCTTGGGATCTAGTCCCACATCAGGCTCCAAGCTCAACAGGGAGCCTGCTTCTCCCTCTCCCTCTGTCTGCTGCTCTCCCTGCTTGTGCTCTCTCTCTCTGACAAATAAATAAATAAAATCTCGGAGAAAAAAAAAAATGAACCAGTAAAAATGACATGTTGAGAACTACAGTGTGGACCTACCAGCTTCTGGCTGATAGCCACTCCCCTCATTTACACCCTCACACAAAGTGTTTAGGAAACAGTCAAAATTACATTTCAGAAAATTCTGTGTGTGCAATATAGTATCTTGATTAGGATCCTGGGACACAAAAAGGACATTAGTGAAGAAATGGGTATTATCTGAATAAAGTTTAGTTAATAGTAACAAGTTTGTAGTTAATAGTAACAAGTTTGTGGTTAATAGTAATTTATCAAACTCGATGTCTTAATTTTGACCACTGTCTCATGGCTGAGTTGTTAACATTAGGACAAACTGGGTGGAGGATAGTACTTTTGCAATGTTCTTGTAAATCTAAGATCATGTCAAATAAAAGTGTATTAAAAATAAATCCCGGGTGCCTGGGTGGCTCACATGGTTAAGCGTCTGCCTTCGGCTCAGGTCATGATCCCAGGGTCCTAGGATCGAGTCCCGCATCAGGCTCCCTGCTCAGCGGAGAGTCTGCCTCTCTCTCTCTCTCTCTCTCTCATGAATAAATAAATAAAATCTTAAAAAAAATAAAAAAAATAAATCCCAATTCTGAAGTCTTATTTCCACCATATATGGAGAAGCAAGGGTCAGTCTGTGATTCAGTCACTAGCAGTCAGACTGCGGCACTTGGGGTGGGGGGTGAAAGAAAGTTGTCTTTTTGAAGTTCTCCACCTCCCCCATTCAAGCTTCACTGGCCAAGCTTTTGAGCCCTGGACTCCCCTCTGCTCAGCTGCTGCTGTGGTCCTTATTGTTACTTAATGACATGTAAGGCTGTCTTTACCAGTCTTTTCTCTGACCCCAGGTCTTTGCTGGGCGGTTTCCACAAAAATACCTCTAACACTGAGTAGCATGCTGCTTTGCCCCCTATCCATCTCTATTATACTCCATACATCATCTTGTTTTAATGTCTTCCCAGATTTTAGCTCCATATAAGTTACCTTGTTGACTCACTCGTTCCTGATTAATATCTGTCTCCCTCTGTATGCAGTAAACTCCCTAGAAACAAAAACCTTATCTGTCTTGTTCAGTGCCTGACCCCTGGGGGCCCAATATGGCACCTGGCACAGAGTTGATTTTTTTTTAAGTCATAAATGAATGTAGTTTTTGTGAGAAAGTCTTCTGTAATGAATGTACTTCTGTACCCTCTCCACCTTCTAGAAGCACTGCACCAATAATGCCTTGGGGAATTGTAGCAATGCTCCCTGAAATCATCTCTCCTTTTCACATCCATCCACTTCATTGAAGAAGAAGCACCTGCCATCTGCTTAGTACAATCCAGAGAACCAAAGTCAAGCCACCTGAAGGGACACCCCACTTATTTACAGTAATACAACACTTTTTAAGTTCCTGTACACTACAGAGTGGTTAGCCTGTGGCAACCAGCATTTGAAAGTTCCCAGAAAACCACTTCAGGAGTCTTAATGCAGTGGTTGGAGACAGTGAGTGAGTCAATTACTTCTTTTTCAAATTCTGAGGAGTTTGTGAAATAGACTTTTCTTTTCCAAGTGAAGTGCAACTTTTGTTTTGTTTTGTTTTGTTTTGTTTTGTTTTGTTTTAGAGAGGGAGAACAGGGGGTTGGGGGCTTAGGGGCAGAGGGAGAGAGAGAATCCCAAGCAGGCTCCATACCCATAGCAAAGCCTGAGTTGGGGCTCAATTCCACAACCCCAAGATCATGACCTGAGCCAAAATCAAGAGTCAGATGCTTAACTGACTGAGCCACCCCGTTGCCCCAAAGTGAAGCTTTTTAACATTACTTGAATGAAAAGAAATTACACACAAATCTTCTTTTCATTATATAAACACTTGTCTAAGGTTTTAAGGATCTCAAATTGTTACTGGACCAAGTGGTCTGCTCCTTGGTGAGCTACAGACAGAAACTGCACCAGATGATTGCCTCATAAGGTCACTTTATTTGTTCAATAATTTCCAAAGCATGATGCCCTGAACAAGGGAAAGCAGGCTCCTTTTATTAGGGTTTGGGATGATGTTTGGAGAGGAATTTTAACATTATATTGAGGCTGAGGTTAACTGTTGGTCACGTCAGGCACTTTCTGATTCATCTGTGCTGGCCTCATGCTCAAATGTTTCTTTTCTGCTTCAGCAGTTCGTTAGTTTCTAAGAAGTTAAGCATAAGCTTCTAGGAGTATCTTGGGTTCAGGAGGTCAGCCCTGAGTTCAGGGAGTCAGTCCTGAGTTCAGGGGGCCAAGGGGGTTCACAGGTGACAAAACAAAATGGAAAGAATGAGATGGGTGAGGTATGATCCATATTAAACTTAAATAGTTAAACAAAGGCATCATTTTCATTCTCTGCTCTGCCTGCTGCTAGCACAGTGCATATGCACAGACGGTATGGAATGAACGACTCCATCCCCATCCCCACATGAGGGTGCTGAGCTGTCATTTGCTTCCCTTGTCACTAAGTAGTTCACCACAGCCATTTAACTTTCTATCCTCTCCATATGTCAACTCTGTAAGTTCCATGAAGGTGAACTGAGTGCATCTTACCCAACATTCCATTCCCAGGAAAGAACACCCACCTATCACATACTCCTAGTATAAATATGCTCAAAAAATAATTGCTAAATGAGTGAGTAATTGATGAATGAATATATTCTGGAAAAAGAGACATCTGGGATGGGGAGCCCAAGCAAGAAATCTCAAATAGTTAAACATATACTGAACACATACTAAGATAGGCTCTAGCAGTGAGGGACAACAAGAACTTCAGAGGCACATACATGATTAATTTCCACCTCCCCAAACTCTCAGATGTTTTCTGAGATCTGATCTATGATACTGATTTGTTTGCTAGACCTGGTCTTAGAAAGTCACTCTGTTAAAAGTGTTGGACTCTGAACTGCAAGGAGGGAGAGCAGGTTTATAAAGGCAGAAGCCACAAGGTTACAGAACTTGTTTCAAAAGAATTACCATTACCCCTGCAGAGTTCAACGGACTATTTAACATACAATTGTCAATTTGGCTAGCGGAGGTTACATGAGCTCTATTTCAGTCTGAAGTAGAAGAATGTGTTCCAGGAGGTGGTCGAACTGACAAAAGTCAAGAGTTCATGGTGTTCCAAGAACTGAAACAGGAGACGTGCAGAGACCCCGCTTCTCAATAGCCTCCCGACCCTATTTTGAATGACTCTTCGCAATGCTTAACTTCGGAATCTTCTTTCACAACCTATAGATGAAATTTAGATTTTATTCCATTTCCCAAATTGTCCAGGATACAAAGAGGGCAAGCATATAAAACTGGTGACTCCCTAAAGCCCCCTGCTCATCCTTGTTTCCTCAGCCTCCTCTGGGGAAGCTCACACCCCCAGGACCCGCAAGGGCCCCTAACACACGCCGCCAGCTGACACAAGGTGAACCTGGGTCGGACTTCCACTCCTCTAGAGGGCGCTGCACAGAGTCCGGTCGCCGGAAGCATTTCCACCCGGGACGCATTTTTCCGACGGCAGTCCTCCAGCGGGCCCTGTGACGTACTTCCGGTTGGCCGAGTTACGCACGTGTGGCCCGGGAAGGAGTAACGTCAACCCGGTAGCCGAGTTGTGGCGCTGCAGTGGAGGCGCTTCTCCGGCAACATGTCTCATCTACCCATGAAACTCCTGCGCAAGAAGATCGAGAAACGGAACCTCAAATTGCGCCAGCGAAACTTAAAGCTCCAGGGTGAGATGCGCGGAGCTTGGGGACTGGGGGCCTCGGTAGCTGCGGGAGCCCGCCCCTGGGTCGCGGCGCTGCGCTGCCCTGCTCGGGAGTCACTGCAGCCCCGAGGTGGCGTGGCCGCTTCCCCCGCGGCACGTGTGCTTGTTGAGAGTGAAAGGCAGCCTGGCGCGGTTTCCAGTCGGTCCCGCTCGGGTGCCGCTCTCCGCGTGCCCCAGATCTGCCCCTGATTTTTCTGAGCCTCAGTTTCTCCGTACAGAATCAGGGCAGAAGCAGGCCGCCTGAGTTTTCTTCCCAGGCCTCCAGCCGGGCTTCCAGCTAAACCACCTTTTCTCTGTCTCCCTTATTCTGAGTCCCTCCGACCTCATCCCCCACCCCACCCCCCTGGCCCATTTCCAGTCAGACACGTGGAACTTGTCATCTACACGCGCCTTCCTTTCACATCTGTTTAATGCCTACATTGCTTCAAAACAAGCTCATTGTCTCTCTTGTCACAGAGTTTTTTTGATACAGTTGCCTTCCCCTGTCCACGTCTACTCTCTCTCGACTCCTGGAGCATATCCTATTTTCAGCTCTAGAAGTGCCTTCTGCACGTGCCCTATCTTCCATTGCCCCTAACATCATGAATTCCTCCAGCGCTTCCAGGTATTTGCATCCTTAATAAATACGTAACTGAAAAGGCTGTTAGCTGAATGCCCGTCATTCTTACCCACCTCGTTTGCAGTCCTACGTTCCTTCCTAACAGAGAGCCAGAGATCTGGAAGTTACCTTCTCCTTTTTTGGATCCTATATAACCTATCAATCCCCGAGGGCAATGTTGGAGGCATAATTCCTTACCCTAGTTGGATTCCAGCAGATGAGTGGCTTGCAAGGAATCCTGAAGAAGAGGACAGGTTTGTGGGTTTTAGAAATGGTTTTGAAGCTCCCTTGTATTACCAGTTCCGATGAATAATACAGCACTGCTAACTACTTCTTGGTACTTAAAGGTAACAATTAAAATTAAAAAATAATAATAAAATAAAATTTTTTCAAAGTGTTGTTACTTTTTATTGTATGTAAACAGGGAAACTTTTAAAGACATCCCTAGGCATTTACATATATATATGATAAATACTGGGACCAATAAGTGAATTTTCAGTTCACTCCTGCTTAGGAAAGTTAGGTTGAGTGTTCCGAAATTATAGGAAAAGCAGTAGTTGTGTGAATAGATGGAAGTCTTTTCTGATATATTGGTTAGCCATGTATTTACCGACTACCTGATACTAACGTGTATTTGTAGCTACTGTTGTCTGGCCCCATCTGTTTAAATGTTTAACTTCACTGAAGTTTTGCTGTCCCAGATTCTTAACTCCGTATGGACAGATACATGGTTTTTTGAAGTTAAGAAATCAATGTAGCTTTCCCTTTTCCAGCATTTTTCATTAAAGGAAATTGACTTGTCCTGTAGTAGAACGCCATAATTAAGTGGTTTTAATAATTTAAGTACATGAAAGGGAATTAAAAGCTAAGTCATCTCAGTCATGGACACCCTGAGGTTTCTCGCCTGGGATCCCAGCGTTCTTAAGCAAACCTACCCTTCTTTGTCACAATGTGCGTTCTGTTTTTAAACAGAGGCCTCGGATGTGAGCTTATCGGAAACCCAAAATGGACATGTGTCTGAAGAAACCGTGGGAGGTGGGAAGGTTAAAAAATCCCTAAAACAGTCTGTGAATGTGGGCTCGTTAGAAGCCCAGATTGGAGAGATAGCTAAAGAAACCGTGGAAACTGTACAAGTTAAAAAAAAAAAGAAGAAATCTACCATAGTAATCAATGGAGAAGCAGCAACACAGCCTCCCAATTCAGAATCCAAAAAAAAGAGGAAGAAAAAGAGAAAAATGGTGGATGCTGCTGGGCCTGGTAAGTACTTCAGTTTCTTTGAACTTCAGGCATTCAAACAATTTTCACAGTTTCACCTTCTTTCTTTTATTACTGTATTCATACAACATGCAAGAATCCCTATACTCATTAGTGTACCAAAAAATAATCTAGTAGCAAAAAGAAGCAGGGTAGGGGCTGGGGTGTGACTTTTTTTTTTTTTTTTTTTCTGATTAAGATACTGAGAAATGTGTTGTGCTTTTACATTCCCTAACAACTGAAGAACACCTCACTCTTCAGTAAAAGCCTTTGAATTCTAGAAATTTGTTCTTTTTGATGGTTGGCTAGGCTTTTAAACAGACTATATTATGGCATAGTGTTTTAGGTTTATTACCTGTTTTCAAACAGAATTGTGGCATTACACTAAAGACATCTGGGCTAGTACATTCCTATCTTCTAAAGTCTTTATGTCAGTGGACTTTGCATTAATGATTCTTTTAATTTACCCTTTTTTTGTCCCAATTTTTTTTCCTGCTGTAAATTTCTCCTCTTGAAAGGAGACTTAGTAATAATTTGGATATGCAAATTGTATAAAAATAGCAGGTAACTTCTATATAAATGGAACGTTAATTCCCAAGTGAGTAGAATGGCCAGGATGGGGGGAGGCCGGTTTCTTTTGGAAGATGGTTGGATTTGGATAAGCTTACCTGAAGGATAGGCATTTTATTTGAGATGTGAGCAAGCAGAGATTTCAAGGGAGACTGCAACAGGTGTTAAACTATTCAGCCCTCTGCCTACTTTTGGAAATAAAACTTGATTGGAACACTGCAGTGCACATTTGTTTACTTGGTCTTTATTGTGACAAACCCTATGGCCTGCAAAACCTTCACTATTTAGTGTCTGGCCTTTATAGAAAGAAAAAAGTTTTTATGGAAGATTTATGTTTAATGGCATAGTAGGACAAATTAGTGCTTTTTAAGAGTTCAGAAAACCATTAATCACAGCCCTTTTTTTCCTCAGTGGAATATACAGAATTGGATGTAATTAGTATACTTAAACTCTTCAACTTTCAAAAATGTCTTGGTCACTCAAGATACTATAATAGGCCTAAAAAATAAAGTTTTTTTGGCAAATCTGCATGTCCCCTTGGGTTTTTACATATAATTAAATCTTTAGTCATGAAAAAGAGACATTGTTAGCATATTAAAACTGGAAATGTGTTAAGCTTTTGAGAACATGCCTCTTTGCATTACACATCTTTTTATTTTGTGATCCCGTTTGGTATTTTATTTTAACAAAAAAAATTGGGTGGGGGGGGGGTGTTTTCCTTTAAAACCAAAGATACCAAAAAAGCAAAAACTGAAGACAAAGGGGACTCTGAAGAAGGGGCCCAAGCTCCTGAAGAGACAGAAAACAGTGTGGAGAAGCCAGATGGTCAGGAAGAGGACAGTGAAGTGCCCAGCCTACCCCTGGGACTGACAGGTAACTTTAGAAAGTTTTCCAGAGAGACCTTAAACATGGCATGCCTTCTGGATTATAAGATTTGAAGTTTCAGTTATGACTTTTAATTTACCTAGAAAAAGTATTGATGAGAAATATTTTTATATCTAGTTGCTGCTTTATCCACTTTGTGTGCCTTAGTTCTTACTGTTTCTGGTTTTTTCCTTTTCTGCATTCCTAACACTAAATATTTTGATAAGGACACAGACAGCTTTTGGGGTCCTCTGTTCCTTTGGTTTGTTGTTTTCTAAAGCTCATTTCATTTTCTAGCAGGAAGATTATTGACCCAGAAGTTTAACATTGCCCCAGTTATTAGTAAGCAAGGATGAAATTCACATTACTGAGGGACTTTGGCCAGGGTGACTTCCTTTGGCCTCTCTGTAAGTCAAGAGTTTGGCCAAAATCACTTGCTCCAAACCAGAAATGTCTAGTTCCTTGAGTTGTTCGGTGTGGGTTTTTTATTTGTTAAAATATTGAGGCCTAACCCCAGGCTTGCTTAATCAAAATTGCAAAGGTTATGGCAGTGGTTCTCAACCAGGGCAGTTTTGCTTCCTTGGGGGCAGTGACCAGGTCATCCCGGTTTACCGACCAGTTTTAGCATCTGAAGTCCTGCATCTCATAAACCTTCTCAGTCCCAGGCAAACTGAAGGTTGACTACCAACATGTTTGGTTGTCAGAACTGGGGGCAGGCTACCGTCATTTAGTGGGTGGAGGTCAGGGAGGCTGCAGAACATCCAGTAATGCATGGGACGGCCTCTCACAACAAAGAATGATCCAGCCCAAAATGTCAGTAGTGCCAACGTGAACAATAGCTGACTGACAAGCAGGGCAGGTGTGGGGTGGGGCCTCCCCAGGTGATTTTGGTATCTTCCCCTGCTGAAGAACCAGCACACTTAACGTGTGGGTCCAGTCTAAGGGTACGTGGCTGTATCTGACCTCCTCAGTTGTCTTTTGGGAGTGAGATTAACAGCTCTTTTGATTGACTTCGCACTCACTTTCTCTGTACTGGATGCTTTCATATTTTATTTCAGATTTCTTAAGCAATTCATTTCTCTCTGCACCACCCCCCATGCTTGGCATTTTCATTAGACACAAGTCCCTTGATTATATCTCCTCTCCATCCTTTACTGTTTCTAGCCTTTACAAAGCCGTCAGCAGTGGAGAAATTTCAGAAGTCAGTGTCTTTGTCTTAGTATTACGTAGAAATGGTGGGGGTCTAGTCTTTCTTACTGGAAGAAGCTCTTCTCAGCTTGACTCCCACCCATTAATGTTTTCACACAGCAAATCTTAATTTACATAGCTATAGCAGTATTAACTATTAAAGATAAATTTGCTAATGATAAACTCTTTTATTTAGGAGCTTTTGAGGATACTTCATTTGCTTCTCTTAGTAATCTTGTCAATGAGAACACTTTGAGGGCAATAAAAGAAATGGGTTTTACAAACATGACTGAAATTCAGCATAAAAGTATCAGACCACTTCTGGAAGGCAGGTATGATTAACATTGATGTTTGGGCATTGGTACCTATTTTTAGTGCTAGTCATTTATAAAGAAAATGCCAACATGCTCTGTTGATGTTTGCCCTGTGCTTTGAGTTGATACATCAATGCTTCATTAAAATGCTTTAAGTTAACTGATGTTTGAAGAAAAGTGTTCATTTCTGTTTTATAGCACAATTCTTATTTCTGAGTTAGATCTGTAACCTCAGTGATTGATTTCAGTGGTAAAGAAGCTAGGGACTTTGTTTTTCTTATTCACAGTCTAGCCTTGATGTCTGCAATGTGCTAATATGTAGTAGGTATTCAGTAAATGCTTGTTGAATAAGTTGACTAAATGTCTCTCTTTCCTTTCCATTGCTGATATTTAGGGATCTTCTAGCAGCCGCAAAAACAGGCAGTGGCAAAACGCTGGCATTTCTCATCCCTGCAGTTGAACTCATTGTCAAGTTAAAGTTCATGCCTAGGAACGGTGAGTTTCTGATCCGGTGGGTTTTGCTGGTAACTCACTAGAAGTTTATCGTCGCAGTTACGGACTCATGGTGATAACTACAGCTGGACTTTTCCTGTCATTTTTTGCCTTTTAGGAACTGGAGTTCTTATCCTCTCACCTACTAGGGAACTGGCCATGCAGACTTTCGGTGTTCTTAAGGAGCTGATGACGCACCATGTCCACACATACGGGTTGATAATGGGCGGCAGCAACAGATCTGCTGAAGCACAGAAACTCAGTAATGGGATCAACATCATTGTGGCCACCCCAGGCCGTCTCCTGGACCACATGCAGGTAAGGCAACACTTGGGCGGGGGGTGCCTGTCTCCTTGTCTCGTGTGAAACCTGCACCTGTCAGCTAACACGTTTTTCTTTTCCTTGGTCTTTTTAGAATACCCCGGGGTTTATGTATAAAAATCTGCAGTGTCTGGTTATTGATGAGGCTGATCGTATCTTGGATGTTGGGTTTGAAGAGGAATTAAAACAGATTATTAAACTTCTGCCAAGTAAGTGGACGTAATACCTGCATGTGGTTTGCAAAGTAGTTGTTGCAAGTAGGTGAGGGTGGTTCCTCTTTGAAAACTATTCATACTGGAATTTTAATTTAGCCAAGCGAAGTGGTTGTGCCAATCAGCCCTAGAAGTAGTTTGCAAAGCAAGCGTCAGACTTACCAGTAACTTAATGCAGTGGTTTTGCCACTTTAGAGGTTGTAATGCAAGTTAGATAGTCCTAACGTCTGTCTCACTCTTGTCTGTCCCCAGCACCCCATCTTTCTTTTTCTCACCCACCCTGACATCTCCCGGGCAGCCATGAATGTGTTGCCTGCTGTGTTGTGCTTGAGCTGTACATACCTGGGTTAGAGTACTTGCAACGTTATGAACTGTTTATGGCTGTAATAAGGCCATGATCCCATTTATTATATGGTTTGTTTTTGGATGCTTTATTGAAGTATAATTGATACGGTCTGTACATGTTACAAATATTCAGTTTGTTTTGACATGTTTACACCTGTGAATCCCATCACCCCAATCATTGGAGACAACCGTCTTTCGCCATTAAGTATGGTGTTAGCTATAGATTTCTTTTTTGTAGTTGCCCTTTACCAGACGGAGGACGAAAATGATCCTTTCTGTTCCTGGTTTGCTGAGATGTTTTTTGTTTTTGTTTTGTTTATCTGCATATACTGGTTGTTTTTATTAATCCAGAATGGCATGATACAGATACCGTACAGTATGTATATTTATTCATTACAAAAATGGCTTCCAAACCATTAGATGTGAAATTGCAGTAACAGCATAAAACAGTAACATCACAATCAGAAAGAGATGTTAAATTCTATCAAATGCTTTTACCATGTCTGTTAAAATGAACAGATGTTTGTTCATTAAATATTTCTTTAAATTTTAAATTTGCTAACTCAGGAAATTATATCAGTTAATTTTCAGGTATTAAATAACCCTGCATTCCTGAAGTAAACCCCACTTGGTCATGATGCATTATCCTTTTTATATGTTATGTTCACCTTTGCTAAAATTTTGTTTAGAAATTTGGCATCTGTGCTTAGGAATCATTATTGGGTTTTAGTATCAGGGTAATAATGGCTGGCTTCAAAGAATGAGTTGGGAAATAAAAAATCTCCTGGAGATCCTGGAGAGAGTGTGCAGAATTGGTGATATTTTTTCCTTACATGTTTGATAGAATTCACCAGTGTAAGTCTTTGGGGCTGGAGTTTTCTTTACGTGACGATTTTAACTACAATTTCCGTAATAGATACAAAGCCGTTCAGGATTTCTTTTTCATCTCAAGTGAGCTTTAGCCATTTGTCTTTCAGGGAAATTGTCCATTTTATCTAAGTTGTCAAATTTATAGACATAAAGTTGATATTTCTTTCTTAATATCTGTAGTGATACCACACGTCACATTCCTGATAGTTTTCCTCAGTATTTCTAGTGGTGAGGCAATGCTAAAGATTCCCTGAAATATTCGGGTTATTTTTATATGTATCTATTTCAGCACGCAGGCAAACCATGCTCTTTTCTGCCACACAAACTCGAAAAGTTGAAGACTTGGCAAGGATTTCTTTGAAAAAGGAGCCATTGTATGTTGGTGTTGATGACGATAAAGCTAATGCAACAGTGGATGGTCTTGAGCAGGTACTTTTTGTCAAGATCTTACATTTACGGATCATCTTTGGTGTGTCCTTGTAATTGTTTGGAGGATCATCCCAAAAGCAGATGGATTAGTGAACTTTTAATTCAAATATAGTGAATTTGGATATTGGCTGTTTGGCATTACTAATCTTGAATTCTGAATAATTTGATCAGGTCTCTTTATTCTGTCTTTTAATACTGCCTGCCACATAGGAGACACTAATCACTACCAATTGTAAATGCAGTATAAAAAGTGTTATTTAATGATCTTTTGCTCTAAGATGCAAGGTGAGTTAGCAGATGGAGAGGCTGGTTTCAGGCACATTGCTCTGAAAAATTGGAAATGAGGTGACAGAAATCCAACCTAAGTGGAATGAAAACAGAAAGTTGGGTCTTTAGATGAATAAAATATTTCAAATAACAATCTTGCTTAAAAATTCCGTTCATTGTATATTTTTAAAAATGTACTCACTTGCCTTTGTTATCTTGTTTAGGACAGTGCACTTAGGCTGTAGTTATTTGAGATCTTGCTATTTAAGGACCTTTTAAAAAATGAAGGATTGCTATGCCTTGAGGGTTCCAACGTGTAGTGGTGTTACTTTATTATGGTTGCACAAACTGTGGGTAATCAGAAGTCTGTAACCCCAGAAATATGAAAAGTACTTAGTATAGTGATTGCACCCAGTAAAAGGAATCAAAAGAGCTAAAATTAGTCTCAGTTTAGGGATGCTTTGTTATAATGAAGTCCGTAATTTTGCTGTAGGTAAGGCACGATGGTGTATATGCAGTGTTTATCTGTGCTCTCCATCAAATCATACTGCTTTATGAAGCTGAAAATGTCTGATTATTTTTATCTGTTCACTTGAACAACTTCTAGGGATATGTTGTTTGTCCCTCGGAAAAGAGATTCCTCCTGCTCTTTACATTCCTTAAGAAGAACCGGAAGAAGAAACTGATGGTCTTCTTTTCATCCTGTAAGTCTGTGAAATACCATTATGAGTTGCTGAACTACATCGATTTGCCGGTCTTGGCCATTCATGTAAGTGATTATCATGAGTTTATTAAAAAAGTTAACACTTACCAAGTATATGGATTGTGGGGTTTGTGGTATCACTCTCTCTAAATGTAGAATGATCCCATGTGGAGGGAGCTTTGCTGGGTGTGGAAGGATGAGGACCACAAAGGGGTAGGAGATACCATCCACTTAGGGAAATGAGATCTAGGCCAGAGAGTGAAATGAAGCAGGTTAACAACTCCACAGCTGGGGGGTTGTACATCCAGACCTCCCAGAAATGACCTCAAGTTTCCAGCTCTAATGAATGATTTGATTTGATTCTTGATTCTAGGGAAGGCAGAAGCAAAATAAGCGCACAACAACATTCTTCCAGTTCTGCAACGCAGATTCAGGGATATTGTTGTGTACTGACGTGGCAGCTAGAGGGCTGGATATTCCTGAAGTGGACTGGATTGTTCAGTATGACCCTCCAGATGATCCCAAGGTAACCGGCATCCCCGGAGTTTCTCCACAAGGGCTCTATGTTAAGGAATGAAGTTTCTGGTTTCTCTGAGACTCACCATATTTCACATTCAGAGGTTGATCCCGTAGTTATCCAAGTCCTGTTGTACTGCACACTGACTATAGTATTTCTCTGGTGCTGATAATAGCCAGGGCTTTTGTAGGACCCAAGGGGGTGTGCCAAGATTTGAGAGGCCTCAGTGAGGCTGAAGTTAGGAATGTCATGTGCTTGGAATGGTCTGTGAAGAGCAGTAGGTGTTAGAAGAAAATAAAATTCACTGCCAGAAATAGGTAAGATTCTGTAGCATGTGTAGTAAAATAAGTTTTATTAAGTATTGTCAACAAGCAATAGATGACATAAATTGTCAGCTAGCACAAAAACATATTCAAAAAGTTATTTTGAAGATGAAGCACACTTAGTAGTCATTAATGTGAATATCACATCCAGCGGGTATCGGGCCTCAGTCATGGCCCTGTTACCTCTTTGGTCACGGTCCGTGCAGAAGCAGGGGACATGGCTAGTGTGTGTGTGGCACGGCCCTGGGGGAGGAGCACCATCTCGTCCAGATGCGCTGACATGCTGTGTCCACCACCGTACAGGTCCTGGAAAGGCAGGTTCCCATGGAAGTTGGTGTACTAATTCAGGTGTTCTCTCTCCACCAAAGGAATATATTCATCGTGTGGGAAGAACAGCCAGAGGCCTAAACGGGAGAGGGCATGCCTTGCTCATTTTACGCCCTGAAGAATTGGGTTTCCTTCGTTACTTGAAGCAATCCAAGGTAAAGATCTTGGTTTGGAAAATCGTAAGCTGGGAAGATTCCTCTTGGTAGGAATTGCAAGTATGCGCTATTCCCGAAAATGGCCCTTGTGCCTTTGCTCTAGAATGCCCTTTTTTGGATCTTCAGAATGCTGGTTTGGTTGAGCTTTGCAGTCTTGTGGGACGCCATCAATGATCTCCTGTCACTGGCGCTCCCCCAGCTCGAGTGCTCATCCAGCTGTCCTCTTACCCGCTACCTGTCTTCTCTGCAAGACTGCAGGCTCTGAGGGCGGGACTTGGGCAGCTGTTTCTCCAGCACCTCTCTGAGGTCTGGCATTTTTGCAGTTTCCTAATAAGTGATGACTGGTGAGAGATCCTTCCCATAGGGGTGTGTGGTCATTGTGAGCTCTGGTATCACAGACCCTAGTCACAGGGCAGGGGGCGGTAGGACAGCTCTCCTGACATGCAGGGAGGGGCCTGTGGTCCTTCTGACTAGAAGCATCGGGCTGCCTCATGTTGCATCCATAGAGCTCCTTCTGTAGAGAAAAGGGCTTCATCGACTCACTGTCCCTGTCTAGTCCCTTGCCTTTCCTTTCAGGAAGGGTCCTCAGCCCAATGCATGTGAAGGTGGTGGAAGTAAGCTAAGACTTTTCCCTTGGCTTCAGGAGACTAGAGGAGTGGCTCTCTGTCCTGAGGGAGTCATACAGGCCTGGCTGTCCTTCTGGTTCTTCATGGGACAGGACGCTTGTCACTGCTCCATCATCTACAACTCTGAATATTGATCCATCCTGGTTTACTAATCTTCGTGCTTTTGTTTTCTAGGTTCCATTGAGTGAATTTGAGTTTTCCTGGTCCAAAATTTCTGACATTCAGTCTCAGGTATGTTTGGTATTTTTATTTGTGTGTTTTTTGTGTTTTGTTTTTTTTTTTAAACATTTGTGACGAAAAGGTAGCCTCCGTTGGTAATCACTGTCCTCTGATTCTCCCTTTTCATGAACCAGGTTTGGACTGTGATCCTTTAGGGTTCTTGCTATGCTGCTTATCACATTCCTATGTTTCCTACCTTGTTCCAGTTCATACCTTATAAGAACTTTGACATTCTTCTTACTGCACCCTGATTTTGCAAATATTACAAAACTTGGAGCACAAGTGAATTGGAACAAATGTTTTTTTACAGGATGGTTTTATTCTAATATGTATGAAGTCTGCTTTTGTATTTTATTGAAACCAATGTCTTTTTCATTTCAGCTTGAAAAATTGATTGAAAAGAACTACTTCCTTCATAAGTCAGCCCAGGAAGCATATAAGTCCTACATTCGAGCATATGATTCCCATTCTCTGAAACAGATCTTCAATGTTAATAACTTAAATTTGCCTCAGGTTGCTCTGTCGTTTGGTTTCAAGGTGCCTCCTTTTGTTGATCTGAGTATCCTTTTCTTTGTTATCAGGAGTTCATCCGGGGACTGAGGGACAAAAGGTTGACAGAGGGGCACTTGGTTTGGTGTGTGGTCCGGCGAGGTCTGGTCACTGTCTGCTTGTCAGCGCTAGCACGCAGTAGGCAGGGGTTAACTGTCGCGGTGGGGGTTACACACACAAGACAGCCTGTGCTTTAGGCCTTTAGGAATTTGACAGGCAGACAGGGAGAGCCGGAGTTGAGCGTTCTGGAGAGACGCCCAGGGGGGTGCAGCTGCAGGCCTTGGGCTGTTGTGAGGCTTCCCTATACAAAGTCATGGAGAGCAGCATGCCCTGGGGCTGGAGAGAGAAGATGGGACCTCAGAGTGTTTATCCCCTCAGAACCATGGAAGGATTTCGTACGAGGAAGTTGCAAGACTAGCAAAAGAAAATAACCCGTAAGTGCTACTCAGGGTAAAAGGCAAAGGAAACCCTTGCAGTTGCTTCTGTTGCAGTTGATCACCTGTACTTCATCCTCATGTTTTCCACCGAGGAAACGAACAGCGAAAGTGAGGCCTGTGAGCTAGCGCTGTGGCTCCAACTCCCGAGGGGACGAGACGGGGGGGTCACCGTCGCCCTCGTAGGCAGTAAGTGTCTAGTGTGGTGTGTACTTGCCGAATCGTTGAGGAAGGAAGAGCAACTCCTTCAGTTGGTTAAGCATTCCCGAATCCACTCTGAACGGAGGTGAAAGTCATTTGTTTTGACATGGAGGGTGGTTTTTACTGTGTTTCTGTAGACTTGCTGATGTGTACCTCTCAACTCCTTGTAAATAATTGTCTTCAGTTTAGTTGTGCAGAAAACCATATCAGTATCTGTAACATGGCTGTTACATTGGCTTAAAAGTCACACCTGCTCATTGTAGTCCATGATCACGTGACCACTCCAGACTTCCTGGAAATGGGTCATGTGGGCTCACGGTCACATTTTCGTGGTGCAGGGAGGGGTTGTGGGAGCGGAGCAGGGGGGTACATGCTGGTTTGTTCTCTGTATGGATATTAGATGGGAGCTCATGGTCTTCGAGTTGCTTGATTTCCTTAACCTTCACCTTTAGACGTGAACAGCAATGATGGCAAGCTTAAAAAGAGAGGAGGCGGCGGCGGCTTCGGCTACCAGAAAGCCAAGAAAATCGAGAAGTCCAAAATCTTCAAACACATTAGCAAGAAGTCCTCCGACAGCCGGCAGTTCTCCCACTGAAGACACGCCTTCCTTTCGTCTTGAATAGCCTTGTCCTGAAGTGGATTTTTTCCCTTTCTCTAACAAAGGAATTGCTGTGGCTTCAGGATTGGGACTGATGGAACAGGAGTATGAGTTGACGTGGGTTGCAAGCACCAGGCACTGATACTTCCAGGAGCTACCGCTCTTATTTGGGGATGTAAAACAGAGTTCAATTTTTCTAGGTTGTTCAAGAGCAAAGCAAGGGATCTTTTGGATTTTGTTATGACGACAGAGTATTTTAAATCTTTTACCTCTAAATTTGTCATTGTTTTGGGGGGGTGGGGTATTTTTCATTTAAAATCAATTAACATATAATGTATTAATGGTTTCATAGGTGGAGTTCGGTGATTCTTCAGTCTTACATAACACCCAGTGCTCATTACATCACTGTGCCCTCCTTAATGTCCTTCACTCAGTTCAACCTGCCTTAGAAGGTTGAACTTAGAAGTGACCTGGTACACTGGGGGTGGTGACGCAGAAGATTGTCTCAGGTTTTTTGTTTTGGGGTTTTTTTGGGGGGGGGTTGTTTTTTTGGTTTTGGTGGTTTCTTGGACCTTAACCATAGTTCCTGACCTCCCCTGAAAATGCTACTGTGGCTAGGAAGCACCTTTAGTGTAAGGTGGTGTTGGTTTTTATATATGCCAGATTTTAAAGCAGTGAGCCTTTCCCATTTTTTTAAGAGCACAAAGTGTGGGTTATTTGTCATTGTTATTTGAATAAAGCACCCTTAGCAGTCCTAACATTTGTTGGAAGCAGTGGGACTCTGAGATTTTTGAGCCTCATTTACACCAATATAAGTGTAATAATCTGCTGTTCTCCATTTAATAACTTAGCAAAAACCTTCTTGAAAAAGGCACAAAGCGATGACACCGCTCATTCAACTCTGTTTCGAGTGGTTTGGATTTTGGTGAACCCTTCCAACTCTGCAGACTACTCAGGAGGCAAAGCATCTTTTTGAGAAAAATTTCCCCTTCCACAACTGTGAAACAAAAATAGGTTTATGATGAAATTTGGAAATGAACAGCAGTCAGAAAAGAGCAGCAAAAGATGGGGGTTTCGTCATGTAGGGTTTTTGTTGTAGGAACTCTTGACTTCCAGAGTATTTCCTGTGTCTTGTCTCATTTCCAGTGCATTTTAGAACGATCAAATGGTTACGACATTTTGATCAATTTGAAACCAAAGGTGCTGGCATCGTTTTGCTGTTGTGCCAGTTAATATTCATAGTCTCCTGTTAAATATGAGGACACTGAGAACTTCAAATGTGAACAACCTGATACAATAGCATCCCAGTAGTAAAAACGAAAAGTGATCCTTTGAGTCTGGGCTTGACCACTGTACCCCTGGCTGGACCTGTCCTAGGGTTCAGGCCTTGACTGCTGGACTCCTGGCATTGAAGAACTCTTCATCTAAAACATCCAGTAACTTGTTTTTCTTTTTTGTTTCAGGAATAATCACGTCTCAAAAAATACACAAAAACAAAGGGAAAACTCTTTAATCACAGAGCAGGGGTAAAAACTGTCGATATTTTTCGTACATAGCCATCGGGTTTTGTATACGTACTTTTAAATTTTCTATCAGGAGTGAAGTCATCCTTTACCCCCTACTTGTAACCAGCTTGTTTCATAACGTGTTATTTTCCTGTGTCATTAAATAACTAACGTCCGTTTTATATTTCATTTATGACTACCTTTTGTTAATAACCCTTGCTTGGTCTGCCTAGACCAAGGTTCTAGGTCCCTGCTTATCACAGAGGGGCTCTCCTATCTTAGCCTGTCTCGTGCTCCTATTTGTCCTGCCATGGTTGACGTCCAGTAGGAGTAGAAGTGAGTCTGCAGAGATTTTATAAGTTAAGTACGTAAAGAGAAGGTGGAAGGACAGTGCTTTCTATAGTAATGGCTCGTTCCAGGTACTTGCGGAGTCAGGAGGTTCTGCTGGCAGGATGGCGCAGACGAGGGACTTCCAGACAGCCAGTCTTGACCAACCTGGCCAGGATTCAGATGTGAGGGGGCCTAGAATCAGAAAGAGGGTCAGGGCAGCCCCGTGTGCAAGGCTCATTTGCACAAGAGGAAGGGATCCTTGGGCTTCTGTGCTGAGAACACAGCCTCTGGTGGCATGTGTTGGGGCTGTTAACTTGACAAATAGGATTAAGTGGCTTCAGCCAGGAAGGTTAGGTAGCATGAGCAGGGAGCCAGGCAGATCACTCCGTGCCAGGAGAAACCTCTGGGTCCTCTGGGCTGCCACGTACAGTAAGTGCTTGCCTATCTAAGTTTGTTTTTGTCTTAACTGGCCATGTTGGTGTAAGTAAGGCCAAATTCAAGATACCCAAAAAGGATCTTTATTGAAAAATAGGTAGTGGTTAAAAATGAGTGCTCTGGAACCAGAGTGCCTGCATTCAGATTCCAGTGGTGCCTCTTTTCTGGGTCTATTAAATGAGGAAAGCAAAGGAATAAAACCTACAACATAAGGCGGTGGGAACTGAATGAGCTAACGGAAGTGCGTGGTAGCGTGCCTGGTGCACAGCTCCGTACCTGTCCTCTGTCTGTTGAGTGCATCCCCCAGGAAAGGTTTGCTGTTCAGTAGCATCGAGTACAGTGACTCGTCAAAAATCCTGAGCCAGCGTGGGCCTTTTGGAGTACAGTCAGGATTTCTGGCCGTTCCTGGAATTGTGATCTGGCCCAGGTTTTAGAAAGTGCTCCAGCTCAGCAGCTTCCTAGGGCTACTCTCCGTTGTACTAGGTGTTAGGTGGAGGCAGTAATTGTGCCTTCGGGTAATCCTAGGTTGTCATGAATTGAAAGTCTGCTAGGTGCCAGAGGACAAGAATAAGGATGGCCAGGCTCCTCTTAGGAACCTGGTTACAGTATAGAGAAGGGAAAGAGGTGCCCTAAACAATTGGCAATATTGTTTTCCAAGTTGTGCAATGGATGCACAAAGAGATTCCAGCCATTTCTAAGCCTGGGAAATCTGCATTCTTGGATTCTGGTAAACATTAGCTGGTGGAAAGGTAATGGAACCTCCTTTGCCTATAGAAGGTAGCCCTCTGTTCTGGAACAGGAGTTTCCAGATGCTGGTTGTGCTAGACTGGCTACTTAAGAAACACCAACATGTTTTAAGCTTTTCTTGCTCCGTGTCTAGGAGATTGTGATTTGCGCCTTTGGTGGGGCAGAAGAACCTCTGGAGAGTTCTCATGTACGGGTAGGTTTGGGAACATCCATATGAATATAGCCTCTTATTAAACCTTTATGTTCTCATCTTGCAGGGTGAAAATGCCCAATACAGGAAATGGTGTTAGGATGTTTAGTCATCCACAAATGGGTGGCCCAGAGGAGGCACACAGACCAGGCTTTCCAGAGGGAACAGCTGTGAGTGGGTTTGAATGGCTCCCCACTGCCTCCAGCCGAAGCCTCGAGATCCCCCGTTCAGTTGGAATGTGGTTGATGGGTGTTGGCACAAGAGAGGAAACAGGTTTGCCTTGGCCACTTGTATAGGACTCCGCATCCTCATCTGTGTTTAAGGGGGAATGTGACAATTTTTTTTTTAAAGATTTTATTTATTTGACAGACACACAGCGAGAGAGGGAACACAACCAGGGGGAGTGGGAGAGGGAGAAGTAGGCTTCCCGTGGAGCAGGGAGCCCGATGTCGGGCTTGATCCCAGGACCCTGGCATCATGACCCGAGCCAAAGGCAGATGCTCAACAACTGAGCCACCCAGGCACCCCGGAATGTGACAATTTTAACTGGATGACACTAGTGGACATTTTTTGTTGGGGACGCTGCCCAGCGTCTAACCTTCCTGTGTTTGGAGACCATGCCATTTAAAAATGCCCTGCTGGGTCTTCAAAGCACTTCGCATCAGAAAAGTCCCCTGCAGCCAGGACTGGCCTGCGACCTAGCTTTGACAGATGAGCTATGCCTGCCCCGGCCACTGAAGGAGGTACTAGTGAAGTAGGCGGCAGCCTCATCATCCCGCTCCAGAGGCCGCGGCATCAAGATCAGAGGGCACTCTGGCTGGGCCACCCAGGCGACGGGCATGACCAGCTGCGGTCTTCCAACCCTGGCCCCGTAGCCATCTGTGATTGCCATTCTTTCAATTCACTCCTTTTTAATGAATTCAGAGTAGCTCTCTGTTGCTCATAACTGAGAAGCCAAGGCCCCTCTAACATCTAGTGATTTTCAGACTGGGTTTCTCGCTCTCCCTCTGTGGCTAAAATGTCAGGGTTGCTCCCCATCCTTCAAACTCTCCATGCCCAGAGCTGCCCTGCTCCAGAGCTCACGGGGAATGGTGGGTTCGGAGCAAGGCCGGGACTGGAAACATGAAAGGCAAGGATGTATCAGAGGAAGAACGAGTGGCCCAGCTCGCCACCTCTCGGGACAGGTCCTGGAAAAGCTGGTGCGGAGCTGGAGGCAGGAGAAAGTGGTACCCTCGGCATCGCTCAGCCTGTTGTGTGAAAAGTTTTCATTTCTCTTGGGAATATACTTAGGGGTAGAATTGCTGGACAGAGATCGATCGATCTATCTACTTACTTATCTAAAGAGAGATTTATTATAGAAATTGGCTCACCCGAGTGTGGGAGCTGAGAAGTCCCCGATACGCCATCTGCAAACTGGAAACCCAGGAAAGCTGGTGGTGCGGCTCAGTCCCGTTCCTGAGGTCTGGGGACCTGGAGGAGATCCAGTGGTGTGTGTCCCAGGCCACGTCTGAAGGCCCAAGAACCAGGAGCACCAAGGTCCAAGGGCAGGAGAAGATGAGTGGCCCAGCTCAAACAGGGAGAGGGCGATTCGCTCTACTCCTGCCTTTGTGTTCTCTTTGGGCCCTCAGTGAATTCAATATATATTTAAAAATTACAAGTTTCAGATATACTTGGAAGGGAAAGCCACCAAAATAGTGGGGAATACTTAGGTTTATGTTGTCTTAATGAAAATAAATGTATTTGGCTAAGAATGTGGGGCCCATCCGCTCAGACCAATGCGACGTGCAGGAAAGAGACTAGGTTTTCTGCACCGTCAGTCAACAGAGGTGGTGGAGTCGAGGAAGAGTGAGCCCAGGGTTGGGGGTGGGGGCTAAGCAAAGGCCGTCCTGTGCCCACAGCCCCCTCCGTGCCCCATGGTAACACAGCCCCTCATCAGATGGGTGATTGCACGGTGAGGGGAAGCAGACAAACGCAAATATCATCAGGAGCGGAGTCCCCTCTGCTTGTTTTCACACCTGAAGGAGGACCTGGGAGAAGATTACTGACTGAAGAAGTCTCACCTCCTCCTCAAGAGCCTCCGGGTACTGCGCATGCCCCCCTGCTTTGGTAAAAGCCCAACCCCGGAAACCCAGTGTTGGTGCATCTATATGGTCACCCCTGTTCTGCCCATCCCTGCTACAGCCTAAAACGAACTTCCAGGCTGGAAGCTCATCCTCCGGTTGGTCACAGGCCAGGCGGGCAAGGGTAGCATCCTGCTGCTTCAGCTGCCTTCCCTGCACCTTGATGTGCCTGGCAGGTGGAGAGCCGAGCCAGTCTCCGATGCTTAATGAAATGTCAAATGTTGAATGTCCAGTAGTTTGTATTTATTTACTTACTAGGGAGTTAGAACACTTTTCATTATCTTCTTTAGCCATTTGTATTTCTTCTTTTTGGATTGCCTCATTAGGACCTCTGTGTGCTTTTTTCTAACACTGTATTTTGAAAAAATTCGAACATAGGGCAAAGTTGAAAAAAATGATTCAGTAATACCCATCAATTTACCACTGACATTGTACCACTAATATTTAATTATACTTTCAGTCTGCTTTTATTTGGAATTTTGCTTTTTTATTTGTTGCATTGCTTTATCTATTAGCATTAACCCTTTATTTATGATCACATGTTCTAGCTCCTTGATGGAAGGATTTCTCTAGTTTATTGACTTTCTCTATTCCATACTTCTGCATACGTTCCTCTCTTCACCTTCTATGTTGGTTCACTTTCCTTCCTATCAAAATTCAGGGCCCGGTTGTCTGTCTGCAATTGTAACTGCTTCTTTATCATTCATTAGAAAATTTGTATTTTAAGTGAATCGATATACCAAAAATGCAGTAATAACTTAATCTACTTATGAAACAAGGCACTGGTCTGGGCATCAGGAGTCCTGGACCAGTGTGATTTGGGATTTCACCATTTTGGCCCTCAGTTCACTCATCTACAAAAAAAGAAAGAGGGTAAGATAGATTTTCTGGATCTGCCATTCCATTTTATGGAAAAAATAGAATAATAGTGGGATTACATTTTAAATAGAAATTAGATTCCAAATTCAGGCCATAATGTAGAAAACTTATATAGTTAAACTTTCCCTAGAAAATTCATTAAATCACCTAAAAAATACAGCGTGAATGTCTCTTGAGTGACCATTGGTGGTCATCAATGCTAGGTTCATTTTGGCCGTATTTTGCATGCCTGATTAGAGATTTGACATAATACTTCTCAGTAAATCCAAACAAAACTGATTGTTTCTCCTGAAACAGACTTTTTTTTTTTTTTTTTGGAGGACAGGTGAAGTGATTGTCTTTTTTTTTTTTAATATTTTATTTATTTATTTGACAGAAAGAGACAGTGAGAGAGGGAACACAAGCAGGGGAGTGGGAGAGGGAGAAGCAGGCTTCCCGCTGAGCAGGGAGCCCCATGTGGGGCTCGATCCCAGGACCCTGGGATCTTG